ATATATATAATAAAATAGAGTTATAATTTCTTACTAAGTTGTTGATTCAACGTCAAATCAATGTCGATATTAGTTTTTCATTGATTCGACGTCGAATCAACTATGTCAATTACAGGAATATCGATTTTATATCGACTCAACCCGTTGTCAACCGCATCGACGTTGAATCAACTTTGATTCAACTCTACATTTCTGACTGGGGATGTAAAATCTTGTATTCCTTTACTTTAGATATTTCGTCTTTTTAAGTAGTTTCCTTAGACATAGTTGACTCACTGTTTAGCCCCGTACAATCCAGCGCCGAGGGCTCCGGCACCGAGGACTCCAGCACCGAGAGCTCCGGCACCTAAAGCTCCGGCACCAAGGAGAGCACCACCCAAGAGAGCCTTTTTTAGAAGAAAAATTGGCGCTCTTTTGTTACGCGATTGCGTCTCGGCTACTTGGCCTGATACCGCTTCCTGCAGTTTCAACGGTGCAACTTCCGATGATACCGCAGGTGCAGCCGGTGCAACTAAGATCTGTTGCAGATTCTGACCGACGGTGTGAGACTCCGCTTGAACGTACATTACAGCCAACACAGTAGTCAGCATCACGATGTACCTTATCGCCATCTGAAAGAACATAGAAAATGATGATGTTCTCTTAATTGTTATTTGTCAATCTCTTTATAAACTCACAATCAGTACAATTCGTATTGTACACTTCTATAGTGTGCGTTTAACTCTACTATGTTACCGTTATTTTGTTATAAATGTAAACTTTTATTATTTTATATATTAGACTACGATAATGTCCCTGGCGGAAAAGTTTTACGAATACTACATAGATTGAGATAAATTTTACGAAAACTACATAGATTGAGATAAGATCTTAGAAATTATTAATTTTTCACAGATATTTGTAGTGGGACGTAGAGCGACGTTGTTTCTTTGAAAAACCTACAAATCCTCCGCTCTCAAACAACGCCACTCTACGTCCCACTACGAATATATCTACGAAGAATTAAGAATTTCTAAGATTTTGTCTCAATCTACGTAGCTTTTCGATATTTTTTTGTAAAAATTTTTTTTCTGCCAGGGATACATGACGTCACAGTGATCATTTAATATTTCAGTTCATTTTTCGACTCATGATTCAATATTCTACCAAATACTAAAAGATATAAGTAATGAGTTTTTAAATTATCGTTATAAAAATATCATTATTTTGATCGAAGTCATATTTAATAAATAAATAATAGATAACGTTATTATAATAATTATTTTTTTAATTCTAAATTTGTTCACCTTCAAAATGTCTTTTAGATACGATTTTTATGGTATAGGCGAATTTCGGACACGCGGGATTTTTTTCGACTTGACAAAAAGTATTTTTCCTTGAAAAGTCGATTAAGTTTGATTTATGTTTCTATCCCCTCATTTTAAATACGAGTATGTAACGTACCTTGCTGAGATCACGTTTTCGGACGAAGTCTGACTCTTCTTGGAGCAGTGGATCCAAAGACTTTTATACGATGAGATGGACGCCCCTACCACAAGAAACTTGTACTAAACATTCCACGTTCTTACTTCTCTCACATACTTCTCTCCATATTTTCCATTTGGATATACCTTTCTCGAGGTCTCACTTAATTGTCGGAACCAAATCGATCGAAGACTCGTTTCCCTACGCGCTGACATTGAACCCAGTCTAGTGACTCGACAGGAATTTCGAATGTAAGTTACTTAAGTGCTACCCAACAGATTGTCAATTTCTTCACATCCATTTAAGCTTTGGACGTCGTCCATCAATTTCCAGGATCAGTCAATGTTATGCTTCTCGTATTGCTTTATTTGTTTATATTGCGGCTTTATTTATTTTTGAGTTACAAAAGTACAATGGTGGACAGGTGAATTTTAAATGACACGGCACTTATATTATCGATCAAAAATGCAAATCTTTCTTGCACAGAGATGGCCCCTGCGTAAGAAATTATACATAGATATATTTTTCAAGAACAAGAATCTTTTAACAGCATATAATATATGTGCCGTTTGCATATTTAAAATATCTATGCTATGTGAACGCATGTGAAAAGCTATTGATTAATAGCAATAAATTCTTATTAAATCGGGATTAAAATTTATAAAAAAAAAAAATTTTAATGAAATAAAACTTACATATGAAATTAATATTAAAAAATATTGTTTTTAAATATAATTGAGAAATTAAGAAATTTATATTTTGCTTCAATATAAACCTTTCTATCATTATTTTTTGTTGTAAATGTTAGCTAATAGTGATTTTTTTAGAATATAAATAGGGAAAATTTGAAGCGAGAAAGCGAACGAATTTGCGATGATCATTATGAAAAAATAATACGTTCATCGCGACCTTGGTACATACAAACAGGTGCGTCTCCATCTTTTTACGTAATGCATAATAAATTTTAGACGACAGAATTAACATAAGAATCTACACAGGGAATTCCGAATTTCATCCGGAACATTGACTTTTTTTCTATTTTTCTGTATCTCCGTTTCCAGCATTTAGAAGTGCTATGAAATAATAACAGAGATCGAGAAAGAATCGCTAAGTAAAAACTCAACAGTCGTTTATGATAGACTATATATAAAACTACGTTTATAATACTTTTACTCTTTTAATTTGATATCAGCAAATTTATATGTGAAAAAGTAAAAATTATATATTTTTTTCGTAATTTAATTTTCCTACAAAATCGATTGGCGTAATTTCTCTCTATACAGTCAATATATTTAATAATGTTTATATAACAATTTGTTACAAAATTGATTTTTGAAAATATATCAGAGAAATGTTTTAATTTCCATGCTTCAGTTTTATTTTTAATTGTTACTTTTTGCTTATTAATTCTCTAGTGGAAAAATTTCGCTGAAATTTCGCGAAAATGGTTCTAAGTTTTAAAACACTTTTTTTTTTCAATAAAATTTCAGTAAAATTTCAGTGAAATTTCAGAAAAATAAATTTAAACTTATCTATAAATTTATTACTAAAAAATATTATTGATTCCAGAATACATACGATAAAATTATCATTAAAAAATAGAAATGTTTCTTCGATCCCGAATTCGGGAATTAATTTTATGGTGCTCTCTCTCCCAAGTGATCACCTATTTTAATGCTGATTATTATACGACAGGATTTGTATGTACTTGACCGAACAAGTTCATCACTTAAGTATGATTAAGTATTAAGTACACCAGTTGTGTGTGTGAAAGAATTACTATTCCAAAACACGTTTGTATTTCGTATGAAGAGTTTTGAAGTGCAATTGAAAAGGTTTGTGAGTTATTCAGTTAATTGTAATTAATTAATCATTTTTACACCACGTATTCAGCCGAAAAAATTAACCGGAGACGAATTAAACAACGTTTTTACAAGCCTTATAGAAATCGTTTGTATTTCGTATGAAGAGTTATGAAGTATCATTAAAAAGGTTTGTGAGTCATCCATATAGTTATTATAAGGCCTGTTCTTTTTGGCTGAACATTTGCAACAGTTTATCTTTTTTTTTCTTCTTTCTTCCTGAAGAGAAATAAGGAAGAAAGATGAACTGGTGCAAAAGTTCAGCTAAAAACAGGTCTATAATTAACTATATGAAAATCATGTAATTCAGTGTTCGCCAGTGGTGCCAGATTCTGGCTTGCGCTACCATTTGGTAACGCGTGGTAGGGGAAGAATGGGGGTAGTTTCCGATAGCTGTAATTATAAGGTTTGTTCGCGTCGTATACTCCAACACGTTCCAATATGCTCCTACCATAGCTCTTACTCATTCCAACGTGCTTGATAGAGTGAGTAGGAGATAATGGTAGGAGCATGTTGGAGCATGTTGGATCTAGCGACGCGAACAAACCTATAGCTGTAGCTATACACAACTACCCCCACTATGCGCTACGCGTTGATAGCGCAAGCTAGAGATCCTCAAGTAAGAGATGCGCGAACTTCGAACATTTGCATGAACATGGCGACCTCCATTATGTGTCATATGTGTGATATTTGTATGTGGTAAGTACAAATTACTAAATTTAGATAATAATGATTCAATATTATTATAAAATATTATTATAAAATATAAGTTGTAAAATTGGTGTGGTAATTGAAAATATTGTAATGTACGCATATTCCTATAATCTATAATGTACATGACTTTATAACGCATAAGTAAACAATTATAGGTATAAATATTTAGAAAATGACAATACCAGGCTGTTGCGTGCCAAATTGTAAAAATTCAACGGCTAAGGAACTTCTTATAAAACATTTCACAAGAAATCCAGACAGAAGGGCTTAATGGGTTGTAAATATTCCACAAGCGAATTGGATATCTATGGATTCCAGCTGTATTTGTGAGGTATGATACTTACATTTACTTAACAGCCAACTTCCTAGGCCACTATTCGTAGTCAAATCTTATATTTATCCAGATTAAACTATCTGCAGATTCTTTGCAGCCAATGAAACAAACTGCATAGTATCTGAAGATACTTCTACTAATAGTTTATCAAAATATATATAGTTTATATTATATACATGTAAATTTATAATATACATTATTAAATTACATTATTAAATTACATTTTCATGACATAACTGAATATTTTTCTCTTTTTCAGATTTAAACACAAATCTTTGCATAATGCATAAAATATAAGAAAATCAATCCAAAGTCTTTTATTTTAGGAAGAAAATGAACCCAGATAACACATGCAAAGTTTTTAAGAACTATGATTGGTACAGTTTCTTATACATTATGCGTACAGATGTAAACGATGGAAAAATTCTAAAAATAGTTAAAAAATTGAAATATAGTATAATGATTAATAAATGTCGATGGCTATAAATATATCTTACCTTTCACTATTATTTGAATGATGTTTTATACTGTGCTTCAATTTTAAAAGTTAAGTAAGCGTTCCATACGCGTTCTTATTAATACAAATAATACTTTATTAGACTAATTGATACTGTTTTTATCGTATACTATGATTGTATACATATACTGTGTGTTGTATATATTCTAAATTTAAATTTGTGAGACAATGTTTATTGAATCTCTAATTATTCTTGAATCAATATTATATTGGGACGTTGTCTCAAAATAAGTAAAATATAGAATACAAAATAATTAAAATATAGAGTACAATTATAACCGATATGCAACAAAACAGTATCTTATGCTTATAAAGTATTATCTGTATTAATAATATTACTTATTTAGCTTTTAAATATAAAATATTTGTTCAAATAATTATATTGAAATAACTATATGTTTTTTTCATGAATTTCATGTAAGTGCCGTTATTTACAGTAAAAAAAACTAGTTTTTTACTTGATACTTTTCTCCGAAGTAAAAAATACCGTTTTTTTACATCTCTAATTATGCGTTATACGATATGTAAAAGTCTGTGCCTCAAGCTAGAGATCCTCAAATATTCTCTAAATAAAATCATAAGTATTCTCTAAATAAAAGTATTCTCTAAATAAAATCATAAAGTGTATTCTCTAAATAAAATCATACATGTGTGAACATTGCGCTTTATACATTATGTTTTTCCTACTCCCTTTGTTTTTAATATGTATCATCTTCTAATAAGTATACTCACAAAGTAAAGATGCGACAAACATAAATTTAGCGAAGTGAATATCATATATTCATTTAGTTAGATTTATGTTCGTCGCGTTTTATTTTATGTAAGGAATAAAATACGGTTACGCCATATTCTTGCAACGTCGTCATCAACCAACCCCGCAGCGATTTTAATTCGTGCATCTCTTAGGCCGGAATCAGACTACGCATTGAAGATTGAGGTTGAAGATTGAAGATTGAAATTTGATCAGTAAGGACAAAGGAATTTTAGCTCCTATTGTTTTAATTGGTCAAATTTCAATCTTTCAATCTTCAATCTCAATATTCAGTGCGTAGTCTGATTCCGGCCTTAGGGCCGGTTCACACCTTGACGGAAAAACAGAAAGCGGAAAAGCAGTGGTCAATCACAACTCGCGCTGGTAGTAAGTAGTACAAAAAGCCGAAATTGTCGACTATCAGCGCGAATTCTGATTGGCTGCTGCTTTTCCGCTTTCTGCTTTTCCGTCAAGGTGTGCACGCGTCCTTACTTGAGGATCTCTAGCGCAAGCCAGAATCTGGCACCACTGGTGCTCGCAAGGATTTGCACATTTCGGACCGATTCCGACGCGCGACCCCCACCACCGCTCGAGGTTTAGTGGCTCGGCCTCGAGCGGTGGTGAAGGTCGCGCGCCGGAATCGGTCCGAAATATGCAAATCCTTGCGAGCACTGATGTAATTGATTGAAATATAGATTGAAGGCACTACAGCGCTCCGGAAGTTCCGTTAGGCTAAAGCTTTATATATCAAAGTAGCGCATTCTTTTGATCTGATTGTGAGCCGAAATGCCGAAAACCTTCCTATTGGCTATTTCGACCGCTATTTCGATTTATGGCTCCTGCGTACAGAACGCGGCAACGC